TGGATGGGATAAATGCAGAGCACTAATTCCTAGTATGGGTCACCATACTTGGCCACATGTCACTTCACTATTTGTTAGGTTGACTGACAGCAGCGACGTCACTTCCGGACTGTAATCCATCGATCCATTGGTAAACAGAGACGAGTAAAAGCACGAGGTTGTTTAAAAGCCCGTTAGCGTTCAGCGAAATGTGAATGAAACGATTCCCGTTGTATTTAGATTTTGTATTTGTTGCGCTCGGTGAGTGTAATGAATTACAGTTAGATGTCACTTTTTTATTCACAGTTGTTTTTAAACCTTGTTCAGTTTCTTAATTTGCTCTTTCGTAATAATGGATAAGCAGTGGCGGAGAGTTTTATACATGGGATGTATAACTCCAACCTAAGGTTAAAATCAGTGTAGGCTATCACTCCAACCTGGCATAAAAAAGCATGAATAAATCCTATCCCGATTGCTGATTACTTCACATTACCCCACATTAGCTACACATTCCTACCGCAACTTCAAATGTTAGTCTATTGGGACTTATTTATCTTATTTCTATCGTCTGATTAACCAGCGGTTGGAGCAAAAGATCTAACATTAACTTATACAGTGATTTTTTTAAATGTCGTCCAGGAAACCTAAAACTTTAACTTGCCAACTTTTTTTGAGAATTATACAGGAATAATTAACAAGCTTGCGATTAAGTACATGTTATTTTTTCTCAATTTTTCTAAACTAAACTTTACAGGTTGAGGTTAAAAGTAACAATTGATTTGTAGACCATTTTTAAAATAACGTTATATCTATGCATTTTTGTTAATTATAATGAAAAGAGTAGCCTAATTATATGATTAAAAATATAATAAATGTAAGTTTTTGCTAAATTCTCCATAGTGTAGCCTACATGTTCATGCTTCATAAAGGTTAAATAAAAAATGCTAATTAGAATCATGGTCGCCCTGATTTTGCCAAGTAAGACATGTTCCTGGATCAACATCTTTTGTTGATCCTGGATCAACATTACTGTCCAAAAATACAGACTTAACCCAATCCCTACCCCTAAACCTAACCTTACCCATAATTTATTCCTAAAACCAGAAGGAAATGATAGCTGATTAACAAGGGTGTAGAAGCACCTAATCCTGATTGTAAGCCTAAAACTGACATTTCCTGAAAAGTTATCTCTCAATTCTGATTGGTTGATTGGAATGATGTGAACATGTTGTACTTGGTCAAATCACGCTCACCTTAGAATCATAGGCGGAAATCCCGGCTTGGCCCCCCTAAAAATATGATTAAAATCCATGCTGTGTATTGTAAATAACCTTTTATACTTTAAATAACTTTGTAAGTAGTAAAACAACACAAACGCAAACGGGCAAAAATGGGTTTTAAGTTTAGAAATATGTTGAGTCTCCCCCTCCCATGCCTCACAGTGCTTTGGTCCAAATGCCTGCTTTCCTCTTTTACATAACCTAAGTGTTGCCAAGTCGCGGTTTTCCCACGGAATTGGGCTACTTTATTTGTGTCCCCTTCAAAAATTGCTCTTGAGAAATTTTATGTTTATTGTCCGCCCCCCTACTGTTCGAAGAAATTGACAATTCTAATTTAGAATGCTGCTTGAACTGAGACAAAGCGGAGCGCACATGAACTGTCATGCCACTAAAGAGCTCCAAAATGATATTTATAGTTCGAAATGAATAAATGTAACAGAGTTTGAATGCTGAGACTTTGTTTCCTATAAAGTAACCTGCTCTGTCTTGTCTGTCAGCGCGTTGTCTGTGTCCTCTTAGCTCTGAGATGTTTTTCACTCCTTAAGAAAATGACCTTGTGGCGTGAGAGTTAGCAGAGGCTGGAAGCCCCACTGGATGAGATGAAGCAAGCATCCTTGAGTACCAGGCTAAAATAAATGCTTCGATTAAGCAGGCTACGATTAAACAAAGAAAATGCAATATTAGCATATTAAACTTTGGGGTGGCCAATCAGATGTCAGGGGTGTCCAGTGCCACCCTGGCGGCCAATGTGAATGGATGCGTCCTGATTATAAAGTAAGCGCTTCAAACGATTAAAACAGAACGAGTATTTAATAATTTTAAAAGTCTTTCTAACTAAATCTAAAAGTATGGAAAGCACCGAGGGGTGTAATATGTATTTTGCAGAAATAGGCCTGGATGAACAAACTATTCAATAATCGCTTTCAAATTAAACAAATTTTTAATAGCACGATTTTTGCCCATTTTCCCTGCTTTGACACCGTTGTTTAATACTTTATGTTTTTAGACTCAATATTGACAAACGCTCAGCGAACTTCAGCACAACCTTTCAATGTACATCCACAATAATTGATAGAAGGGAAAGGGTTTCGGTTTGTAAGATGCATTGTAGGCTACTCATTCTTGTGTAAGAATGAAGGAGAGGTTTATTGTGTTTACCTCGCAGGTGTTCATCTCATCACTGGACCGCTGCCATACTAATACACAACAACGAAATTAGAATCTTTTCTCTGAGTGCGCAATCCCATTACGGAGACATAATGACATAATTGCAGTTTTGCCACTTTCAGCAGTGTTTATCATTCAGTGCCGAAATGGCTCATTATTGAATTCAACTGCCCAGCACAGATAAAACCGTGAACGTGATGAATGGAGCTGTCAGTCACTTCCTCAAACCAACAGTACAGTCAAGAGAGGTTTAATTGCCTCAGTGAGCTCCCTGGCCCCTCAGTCTCGCACTCGGGCTCTTTCCTCCAACACACAAATGTTGCAAAACAGCAGATATATACCATAAACACAGATAAAAACACAAACAGACCTTTCCCCCTCGGTTTATACCCGACTAAACCCAGAACATGCTCACGTCAATCAAAAAATATGTCTTTAATGTAGTCCATAACTGTCATGAAGACAGATTATAATTTTGTTAATTTTGTCTTTCATACAAAAATTCCAGTATCATATTTTTGTAATAGGCCTATATTACCTATTACATATGTTGGGTAAACAAACACAATAACTCAACCAAATTAACCAAAATGTTGAACTGTGTTCTTGAGAGTACAGCTAAAAGTTTATTAATTAGTTTTTTTTATTTATTTATTAACAGTCAATGCTTTAAGATTTATGTCTATACAGAAATGGACTTTCAAAAATGAGTAAAAAGTGGGACAACTAGCCCCGGTTTCCCGTTCTTCCAGCTTATAATAAAAGCTCTAAAATGTTCTCAAAGTTAATATGGTGGATATTTTATACCAGACATGTTTTGTCAAGTAAAATCAAATGAGGCTTAATATATGATTCAAGTCATAAATATAATTTAATGTGACTCAGCATGGCTACATTAGCATCTACTTTATTTTTAAGGGTCAAATCAAGAAGTAACAGTAGTTTCTTAGTTCTTCATTCTGATAGAAAAACGTGGACCTTAATACATTCACTGTCAACATTATTCAATGACATAGTGTTATTAGTTGATGAGAAATCATAGAATCAGACGTGAACGGTATAATATAAATATGTGATAATGCAACTACGAAAACGTTTAAACCGGAACGACAAATTCAATAGAAAACTTTACATTAAAACACGGAAACTGCAATAAACTCGCAACAATTTAAGGCGTCGTGTAAATGTGACCAGACTCGGTATGAAAAACAGAAATGAATGTAGGCTATTTTATCGAAATAAAACGTAAAATGGACCATAGTAATACAGTCATTCACAAATCAAACAGATATAATGAAAATAAGATCGATGTGAATTTGTGAATTTTACCCGAGATTACACAGACGCGGTTTTGCGATCTTATTTTCGCAAACACATTTAAGTAACCAAGAATAGTCAATTAATGAAATAGACAGTTATTCACTATTTTAAAAGTCACTTTTTTTTTCGACCGCAGCAATTTTCCGTACCATTTCTTAATGGAAACTTGCGTAATCGTGTGTATCAGTTAAAGTCAGTTTTGTGTTTGTATGAATAATAATAGTGCTCAAGAGTTTGAAAACAGCTGGCAGCAGTTAAACCAGCTGTACAGCAGCTGCATCACATGCTTTCATCATCTGTGAAGATGTGGCATTGTCATGAAGAAGCTGCCACATTTTCATAAAACTAAGATTGGGAGTGTTCATTTGGCTTTGAGCAGAGTTTTCTGCTTCAGTGCATCAGTGTCAGATGTCGCAGTGACACACAAAAGTAGTGACACTCAGGCATAGAGACAATACCCTGCACTGAGGAGGAGATCCTGACAATGAATGACTGACCACAAACCTTGACATACTGATTTGGGCTCACAATAATGGGCTCACTATAAAATATGGAGCGCACTTTCTCATTAGTGAAGTGAAAATGAGATAGAACTGCACGAGACAGGAGACAATGCAATCTTTATACGGATAGACTAACGTGTATTTTCCTTGTAGGGTGTCAGATTTGCATAGCACGGTTAAAAATTAAAATTTAAAAATCCAAAAATGATTGTGTATTGGTTAGCTGCAACAAATGAAAAATGAAACCTACGCGTGATGGATTGAGGAATGCATGATGCATTTACATTGTTCATTTCATACATATTCATTGTGGAAATGCATGATGCTACATTTCAGAATCAATTGAAAATAAGATTGAAATGAAGTTAAAGTTTCTTCAGAAATAATGTAAGTACCTCAGATCAACTATTATTTAATCTTCTGCAGACATCCGTCTTTTCTATAGGAAAATGCGACAATTGAGTGGACATGAATACATTTGTATATTCATAATTCATTTGATTGTCATGCATGATCAAACTTGTGATTTTATTTGTACATTTATCAAATACCAATACAGCAGCCAGAAGTCCAACCCTTTATATTCCTGAAACTGTAAATATGTTCAATATTTTAGAGTACACTGACCACTAGTGGCTGTTCAATGCAATGATTCACAATTGTTTTATAACACAAATTATAAAAGCATTTTGAATCAACAAGTGAATTTTATTTGTTTGAGAGTAAAAAACAAAAAAGACAGTAAGGCGAGAAACAAGCCATCAACAGTGAAGACCAATGAAGATCATTCTTTTGAATTTCCATTTGAAAAGACACTAACTTTTACAGAGACCCCATAAAAGCAGTAAAATGGAGTTAAGAATAGACATACAATACTATGCTGGAATAAGGCTGTCAACATTCAATGTAATGTAATAGCTCGATTTACATGCTGGCATCAATCAAATAAACTAAAAATGTCCATGATTTCAGGCACTTTGGCTCAAAAAACAGAATGTTACACACTAAAGAAGAATGAACAGCCCTTAAAGTGATGATCGCATTAAAAATCTATCAGGGCAGACAAAATCTCCAACATTTGCTGGATCTAAAATGACTAATCAAATTCATTTCAGTAGATGAATCAAAACTTTAAAGCCAAGATGCCAACACAAAGTGAAACATGTAAGATTGATTTTGTAGTCAGCAGCGCCTCCTACTGGTACAAATACAAGAGGCTGATTCACAGTGAGCACAAGCATCACTCATAGAATTAGTAAAAAAAAAACGTTAGATTCACATCAGATTGGAGCAAGAAAGTGCAGAAGCACAGACATAAGAGCATATTATATTTGTTTTTATCTGAAAGAAACATTCAGTCATAACACTGGAATTCAGTTAGAGCAAACACACACAATTTGATTGTTTTTTATCCAAACCTGAAAAACGACAAATCACAGAGAGCTACAGTAAACGATAGATCATTCCTGCATTCCATTGTAACAGTACAAACAAGCTAGTAACCACAGTTTGTTTCCAAACGCTGCGAGCAGAAAGCAGTGACACTGACAGCAGAATTCCAGAATCTGGAATATTCTGTCGCTGCCGACACGAGATATGTGGCACTGAGTGGGAAGTCTGTGAGGTTCAGGCGTTCAGTCGAAGCCTTGCCAGTCGCTTTGCTCGGAGTCGTACTCGAGTTCTGCTCCTATGCAGCGCACGCCTTCCAGCAGCATCGGAGTGCCGTGATGACGGTCTGACAGAGAAGAAGAGTCGTTTACAGGACTACACAAGTTAAACTCTAGATCTGTGCACAAAACAGGCTGTTTTAAAGGAATAGTTCACCCAAAAATGTAAATTGGCTGAAAATGTACTCACCCTCAGACCATCCAAAATGTAGTTTGTTTCTTCTTCAGAACAGATTTGGAGAAATGTAGCATTCCATCACTTGCTCACCAATGGATGCTCTGCAGTGAATGGGTGCCGTCAGAATGAGAGTCCAAACAGCTGATAAAAACATCACAATAATCCACAAGTAATCCACACCACTCCAGTCCATCAGTTATTGTCTTGTGAAGCAAAAAGCTGTGTGTTTGTAAGCAACAAATCCATCATTAAGGTGTTTTAAATTTAATCCGTAGCCTCTGTCCAAAATATGAGTCCATAATAGAAAAAAAAAAAATCCCCTGTTGTCCTCACACATCTGCAACTGTTTTTGCTTGTAAACGGTGCTTGAATTATGGTGAATTCTCTCCCGTTTCAGATGAGACAACTTTTTTAGAAAGCGTTATTATGGATTATGGACTCGCATTTTAGCTGGAAGCAGTGGTTAGAATTTAAAAATATCTTAATGACGAATTTGTTTCTTACAAACACAATCTTTCATTTCACAAGACATTAACTGATGGAGTGGACTGGTGTGGATTACTTGTGGATTATTGTGATGTTTTTATCAGCTGTTTGGACTCTCATTCTGACGGCACCCATTCACTGCAGAGGATCCACTGTTGAGCAAGTGATGTAATGCTACATTTCTCCAAATCTGATGAAGAAACAAACTCATCTACATCTTGGATGGCCTGAGGGTGAGGAACTTTTCAGCAAATGTTCATGTTTGGCTGAACTATTCCTTTACCTTTTAAAATGCCAGGGCCAGTACAAGTTTAAGTTTGGTTGAAGGCATTTGTGGCATAATGTTGATTACCACAAAAATAATTTTCTTTAAAAATGGCAAAACTTACACATCCACACTTACAGTGGAACTAAAAAGAAAACAAGGGACAAATTGAAATAATTTTTGTGGAGATTAACATTATCCTGACCGCACATGCTGTCAGAACTTAACTTGTGTTGAACTATTCTTTTAATCAGTTTTTACATAAGAACACCAGTAGAGGGCAGCAAACAACCTTGCATCTGATCTCCTTTATTCAGAGCTTCATTAACAATGTGCCTTAACTTGTGTCCAAAAATGTCACAACAACTTCTCAGAAACATTAGCCAGGATAATGAAAAATCAACTGTCACTTACCCATGACACGAGCATGAACTTTGACCTTCACACTCACATCCTCTTTGCTCTCGCTAAGAATCTGCACCTCCTCACACATCACTCCCTCCTGATGGGCCATATATTCACAAGTCACCCTCAGACCTCCTGAAGACAGACACAGAGTCGACAACAAAAAGTCATTTATACAACATCATCTACACATTCATCAACAGCCACTGTGCTAAAAAATAAGTCTTTATCTCACAGACAAAACGTTTGTTTAGCTGTAGGTCACACCAATTCATGGGCTAGACCTGTATCCATTCATGGGCACATCTCCTGTCTGATATCTATATTTATCCTTTCCTGGGTACACGCACACAATCGATCACCGCAATGGAAAATGCCTTAAAGCTGCTGTGTCACGAGTGGCATTATAATCGCAAACAGCTATAGGTTGTCTCCAAACTAACTGAGGCAGAAGTTGACATGTTGGGACACTCATAGTATGTATACACAGTATTTAAACACATCAGGATGTCAGAGTACCAATGGTTTAGCGGCCATTCACAAAGAATGCTTTCTGCATTCTGCACTGCTTTCCATTCTTTTAGAGCGTAAATTTGCTCTAGATGAATAAACGCCATATGCGATTGAGTCTCAGCGTCATGCATCAAAAGCGTCCCGGGACTCCACTCCCTGATAGCACACATACATCACGGAGATGTCTATTTGACGTCTGCATTTACATCTGCAAGACATATTTTTTTTAGAGTGTTTGCTCATCTGCAATACGTCTATAGGACGTTTCCTATCAGATGTCAAATACACGTTTAGAAGATGTCTTTAAGATGTTTATCATTTAGAATGTATGTAAAACTGACATCTTAAAGATGTCTATCAGATGTTTGTACACAGCAGATGATTTCCAGATAAAGCGATCTTTAACAGACATCTTGCAGACGTATGTGTGCGATCTGGGCTGCCATGCGTCTCGCGTTTTTAAACGTACAAACACATCCACTGCGTAAACGGCAACATAAAAACGTATTCACTGAAAATTACGCATTTCGCCTTTAAATTCTCCAGATGTCTTACAGAACGCATATTTGAAGCTACTCAACTGCGCACTGAATAAATCATAAATGCTTTGTTATTTTAATATCTATAAATAAATGAAAAATGCCTCAAAGCTGTTGTAATTTCAGCACCATGAGTTGCCATTATAATAAGCACCATTATAATCGCAAACAGTCCGGTCTCCAAACTAACGCTATTGAGCCATATGTTGACACGTTGGGACACTCAAAGCATGTAAACAGTATTTTAACATTTAAGAAAGTCAACGTAGCAATGGTTTAGCGGCCGTTCACAAAGAACGCTTCTCTCATTCTACTGTGCTGCTTTTCCATTGTTTTTGTATGGAAATATGCGCTATAAAATGTGCTGACGCTGAGCTCGTATCTCAGCGCTGCGCTTCTTGAACACACAAGTTCACCTTTGAGAATCCACTGCCATGCTTCTCGCGTTTTTAAATGCACAAGTGCATTCTCTGCATATTAAATCACAATATGAGAATGCATTCACTGTAAAATGATGCACTTAACCTTTAAATTCACTAGATGCATCACAGAACACAAAGCAACTCAGTTGCGCGTTGAATAAATCATAAATGCTTCGTTATTTTAATGCCTGTAAATAAATACCATATATGTATCTTTTTGTTTAACTGATCACGCCAATACTCTCAAATGAGCATCGGTTTATTTCAGTTACTGTTGAAGTAGAGAGTGTTTCTCGTCGCATTCATGCGATGATTCACGTTTTGTTCACAATCTTTTGTACACCGGTGATCATAGAGCACTCGTTCATTCTTTTACATTAAATAAACTCATAGAAATAACTGGTGGAAACCGGTTCTGAGGGCCCTTCATTGGAATAGGCTGTATGGCTCTCAGAGGAGTTTTATTCTTAAGAGGACACAAAGCTCGGTCAAACAAGTATATTTGCAATCTGTTTCTGCGAATGCCATTGTCTAATTCACTCTTATATATAAAGTTTCCAAAAGGGTTTTTTGCAAAGATGCCATATAGAAGAACCATTGTCTTTACCCCAAAAAACTTTTCAGTGAAAACTGTTTTTGTCTGAGTGTGAAGAACATCTTAATCGTCTTTTTACCATTATAAAAAACTTTTGTGTAATGGAAAGTTTCCATGTTCAAGGTTCTTCATGAAACCATCAATAATAAACCTTCATTTTTAAGAGTGTTCAACATCATCGCTAGAATAAACATCTACTAATTTCTACAATAGGAAGTTATAGCTGCTAATATAAGGGGTTCAATATGCCTAAAGGATTTGAACAGTTAAGTCACACTTAAAAATGGGAAAGGAAATATTGTAGGTCAAAGGTGTTCGGCGTTCGGTGTTCGTTTGGGAATCACTGCAATAAGTAAAAAAAACACAAAAAAACACCCAACCTAACGTCACTTTTCTTCATCAATATGTTCAGCTGTGTTGGGTCAGAGAACTGATCCTTAAGTGATGGGACGTACCGTCTGAGGACGGTGTTAAGTTAGTGATACGGAGGTGAGGATTGGGGATGGGGGCAGGACACACGTCTTTCCCAAGCTCTGGCGTCTCAGGCAGTGTGAACACGATCTCATATCGGTGCTGTGTTTTCAGGAAGCCCACCTGAGGAGATGGAGAGAAGCAGAGAGGTTATGGTTGGGTGTCAGCAGGTCTATGATGATATGAGATTAATGAGTCGAACTGTTGTTTGCACTTGATCTGAGATCATAGTTTACTGTGATAAATGATGTTAATGAAATCTTAGCTGATAATTGATAATTCATTTAAGAATGATAATCATAGTTAGCTGATTTCATTAACAAAATCAGCCTTGACTGATCAATGATGAAATCATAGTCAACTTAGTTCAATGAATTTAGAGCCAAACAATAATTTATTCAATCATAGTTGACTTATTAACCCACTAAAGCCTGATATGAAATAATAGTCAGAAAAATCTATTTTTTATTTAAATGGAACAGTTGAACTTTTACAGAAAATCTCAAAAATGCATGTGGTTTTTGTTGAATATCATTTGATGCATCAGGCTTATATGATTCATAAATTATGATATAGTGAGTGAGAATACTCAAGATGGGGGAAAATGTATTCAGAGGCCCAAAACTGAGGAAAAACATGCAATTTGGTGCAATGCTGATATTTATATGCTCAAAAAATAAGATGAAATCCCGATAGCCTGTAATGTAAATCAATGAGATCTTAATTTTAGGAGCACGAAAGACATGTTTTATAATCTATTACATGATCCACTGATGTAACTGCATGAAACTGTTTCACAGCCCAAAAACTTCTGTCAGATTTAAAGTTCATTATTGAAGCTCTTACTAACCAAGGAAGGAAATCAGGATGATATTTTGAAATAAAAACAATGGGAACTGGAAAAGTGGGAAAGACAGTGACAGAGCTCATGGCAGGAAACCGTCAAACTGCATCTGTGTCTCAGTGAAGGATGACAGAATCATATAACGTCTTATCTGACCAGAGCCCTCATCAAAACGCAATAATCAAACAGAACAGAAACAGTCCAGAGGTACAGGTGTTTATATACTGCTCAACGGTGCTGCAGCTTGTCTCCATGGCAACACGGGGCAGTAACAGGGCAGTTTCAGAGAGACATCTGCAATGAAAAGAGTCAGAGACTATGACACCCGCTGTGGGGTGAACGCCAGCATGATTGTGTATCTTGTCTTAGAAATGTACGAGTAGGAGGAACGCAAACACTGAGTCTCTGTGTGATTAAATATGTTCAAAAAGTCACTGTTCTCACAACAACAACAAGGAACTTGTGTGATTGGAGCTTCAGTAAACTATTAAAGGGGGGAGGTCTAATGCTATTTCATGCATTCTGAGTTATTTACACTGTTAAAAATAGTTGGATTCTCATGCTAAACATGGCCAAAGTTTCAAAAAAGAAGTTGGACGTATGACTGAGTATTTCTGTGCCAAATACATTCCTTCTGGGTTCGTATAAGTTTCGGAAAGTTTTTTTCAAACATGGCTATGTATGACACATAAAGGGCAGAATTCCTTGTATGGGCACTTCTCCTGGAAGAGCATGCACACATCAACCAGAGAGAGAACAAGAGTTACGGAAGTCGTCGGCAGCGATGCACAGGACTTGCTCAAGGAGAATGTCTTCAAAGAAGTGTTTTTGGATGTGAGGGAAAGATAACGTCTCGGGTTACTCATGTAACCATGGTTACCCGAGATGGAACTCAACGCTGCGTCCTGGTGGACACTTTGGGGAACGCTGTCCAATCATGCCACGCCGAGGCGCATGCCTGTCCACCTGGTGAGAGAGCACCAAGGAGGTGACAGACATAGCCCCTTTCTGAGGAAAGGTTTGGTGTAAGCCACTGATGCCTCGGGCCGCTTACATAACTTGGTAAAAAGAGGGAGCCCGATACCAGATAAGATTGAACACCCTAACCAAGCTAAGAACACAGCCATCCTCAGATAGCTATGCTATGTGAGCAATAGTAGCCAGATACATAAGACCACTGAGAGGCTGGAAGCCTAGAGGAGTTCTCAAGATTGCCACCAACAATCCCAGCAAGGACACAGCTATCCGCAGATAGCTATATCCAAAGGGTCTTATGAAAAGGACCTTCCTAAAGAGCTGCCCAGACCAAGGGAATGACTATCTACTTAAACCCCGCAGGGGTGATAGCACTGTCTAAACCAGGGCTCAGGGAGACCGCTACTTAAAAACCCTAGGAAGGGGAGCAGTCACATAGCTATCCACAGATAGCTATATCCCTAGGAAGTACAGGACCAAAAACTAAAACCCCTGGTAAACCTACCTGTGAAGCTGCCCAGACCACAGAGAGTGGGCTATCTACTTATGACCCTAGCAGGGGAGATAGCACTGTCTAGGCAAGGGCTCTGGGAGACCGCTACTTAGAACCCCAAGAAGGGGGAGCAGTCCCTAAGCTAGCACATTGATATCCTCAGATAGCCATGTACCTAAGAATGATTCTCTTAACCAGAGGAAGCCCTGTTCAGAAGTATCGCCAGAGATACATAAATGGAGTGAGGCCCAAGGAGAACTGGGGCCAGAACCAACTCAGAGAATGGGAACAAAGTCGAGCGTGTAACCCATACCATACAGGATTTTAGAAAAGTGCGCAGGGTGCCTAGCGTGCACACTTACCACAATGCGGATTTTAGAAAGCGCACAGAAGCTAGCATGTACGCTTATCATAAACATGGATTTTAGGAATAGTAGAACAGGAGGGGACCGACTGAGATTACCCAGACCACCAAGAGTGGGCTGTCTACTTGCAACCCTAGAAGGGGAGACATCACTGTCTAGGTAGGGCTCAAGGAGACCAATACTTAAAACCCTAAGAAGGGGAGCAATCACCGAGCTATCAACAGCTGGTCCCACACAACTAGCCTGAAAAATCCTGGTAAGCCCTCCTATGATGCCACAAGAGTGGGCTATCTACTTACAACCCTAGCAGGGGAGATAGCACACTCTAGGCAAGGGCTCAGGGAGACCGCTACTTAAGACCCTAGGAAGGGGAGCTGTCACTGAGCTAGCACATAGATATCCTCAGATAGCCATGCACCTAGGAAGGCTACCAGAAGGGGACCGACTGAGACTACCCAGACCACAAAGAGTGGGCTGTCTACTTACAACCCTAGCAGGGGAGACAGCACTGTCTAGGTAGGGCTCAAGGAGACCACTACTTAAAACCCTAAAAAGGCGAGCTATCTGCAGCTGGTCCCACACAGCTAGCCTGAAAAACCCCGGTAAGCCATCCTATGATGCCACAAGAGTGGGCTATCTACTTACAACCATAGCAGGGGAGATAGCGCTATCTAGGCGAGGGCTCAGGGAGACCGCTACTTAACTAGGTAAGGGCTCAAGGAGACCGCTACTTAAAAACCCTAGGCAGGGGAGCAATCATCGAGCTAGCACATGGCTATCCTCAGATTGCTAGGCTCTAGGAAAGGGGACCACTACAACTACCATGGCAATGGCAGTATGAGGACACCGCAGATCAAAGCAATCGCCGCGATCGGAGATAAACCGAGCCGCAGCAAGGGCCCAAGACGCGAACGCTTTGCCCCGCATCCCTCAAGAATAGGAACAAACGCGAGCCGAGCGCATTAAAGTGATTCATCACAAAGAGCGCGTGGTCGCCGAGACAAAGATCAAAGTGTCCACCAGGACACAGCGTTGAGTTCCCTAGAAGGGGAACCATGTTCAGCTTCCCAAAGAACCCAGCGTTACCTGAACAGTGGAAGCAGTTTGTTTTTCTGGGGCAGCAACGGAGTTTGTTTGTTCCCATCATTTCAGTGCCGAATGTTTTCTAAACAAGGCCCAGTTTGACGCTGGGATGCTTCGATACTTCAATACATCCATCCATCTATCGTTCGTTCTATGCATCCATTGTTCTATCCATCATTCCATCCATCATTCTATTCATCCATCCATCATTCTGTTCATCCATCCATCATTCTGTTCATCCATCCATGCATCATTCTATTCATCCATCCATCATTCGTTCGTTCTATCCATCCATTATTCATTCCAACCATCCATCCATCCATACTTTGTTCATTCTATCCATTGTTCCATCCATCCATCATTCATTCCATCCAGCCATCTTTCATTCTATCCATCCATCCATACATCGTTCATTCCATCCATCCATCTATTGTTCATTCTATCCATTGTTCCATCCATCCATCTATTGTTCATTCTATCCATTGTTCCATCATCCATCTATGCAAGCTGTTCTAAAAAAAAAAACTATGCCTGATCACTAAGAAAAGTAACACTGCATCTCTCTGGAGCAAGCCGCATGATTTCAGATATCATTCAGCTTCACACATTACAGAATGAGTTGCATAGCAGTTTAATACTTACAATTTGTTCGAATATCTTGCCTTAGTGAGACCCACTAATAAAAAGCTTGATGGCAATGCATTGCACCAAAAAAACTAGGAAACGGTTAATCAGAGTTAAAAAATTGTCTCATCAAAGCTTTGGCCATGTGGTCAGCGCACATGCTCTGACATACTGACCAGTGCTGCTCATATGTAAGTGATGCAGTTCAAATCTGGCTTGTGTCATTTCCTGTTTTTCCTCTTAAAATCACAGATACAGCTCCTGGCATGACTCCTGTCTTGCCATTATGTGTCTTCTCACATAATGGCAAGGCTAGAAGTCAAGTAGAATATGCTGACCAAAGGAAAGAAGCTGAAGCTTTGATGTGAGCTGAGAAATTAAATAAATGTTCTTCCTGTAATATGAACTCATATTCTTGACTGAAGACCTTCAAATGAAGCTAATGAATAACCCCAGCTATAGAACTCGCTCTCACCTTCACCAGGAAGTTCCCGTTGGACTCGGGTATCACCATGACGACGGAGTCGTGCAGTTTCTCGTCAAAATGCACATGAGTGTGAGCGGCGGCGGCTGCAGCAGGTTCCTCAGCGAAGCGAACACCCCCCGTCTTAGACAACGCTGCAGGAGGAACAAAAGCAAAGCGATTACAGCTGCACTAATTACACACAGGTTTATAGACATCCAGATTGTGAGTCGCTGAATGAAAATGTTCAGCAAGAAGCTTTTAAAGTTGAAATTATTCAAATCAAACTTGCCATCTGACACCCTGAAAGACCTTCAGTCTAATATCAGAGATCTTTTCATTACTTTAGTCAAAAAGAAAGATATAGCATAAGTGGGCTTACATTAGTCTGGATGTGCATTGAATTTACCAGCTTCAGTTTAAAAGGCAAAAACTGCATTTAAGTAGATTAATACAAAACCAGATCAGTTTAAAACACTTGGATCAGTGAGAATAAAGCTGATGTGTACAATAACCCCAATGCCTTCAAGGTCTTACATGCTTTAAAACAAAATCAGTTTTTAATTTAAAGGAAAAGATCACTCAACAATGAAAATATATTGACCCTCTGGCCATCCAAGGTGAGTTTGTTTCTTCATTGGAACAGATTTGGAGAAATGTAGCATTACATCTCTTGCTCACCAGTGGATCCTCTGCAGTGAATGGGTGCCGTCAGAATGAGAGTCCAAACAGCTGATAAAAACATCACAATAATCCACACCACTCCAGTCCATCAGTTAACATCTTATGAAGCTAAAAGCTGCATATTTATAAGAAACAAATCCATCAAGACATTTTTTGGATTTAAACCCTTACTCCTGGTTAAAATACAAGTTCTTAGTCCATAATATTGCTTTCTGCAGTGAAAATGTTGTCTCGGCTGAATCGGGAGTGAAATATGCACAGATCAAGCACTGTTTATAAGTGAAAACAGTCCAAAACAGTTCTAAACATATATGTGAGAGGACAAAAGGGCATTGACTTTTTCACTGAATCAAGCCAAAAGCGTTGGTTTAAATTTAAAAATGTCTTGATGTATTTGTTTCTTACAAACACGCAACTTTTCACTTCTCAAGATGTTAACTGATGGACTGGAGTGGTGTGGATTATTGTGATGTTTTTATCAGCTGTTTGGACTCTCATTCTGACGGCACCCATTCACTGCAGAGCATCCATTGGTGAGCAAGTGATGGAATGCTACAATTCTCCAAATCTGTTCTGATGAAGAAACAAACTCATCTTGGTTGGTCTGAGGACGAGTACATTTTCAGCAAATTTTCATTTTTGGTTGAACTATTCCTTTAAGCTTTGGATCAAACAAGCACCTAAAAAGAGAATAAAAAATTATGCAGACAACAGGATATATGACCTTATGAATCAAGTATGCAGATATGCAGGCCTAACAAAACGAATATGGTTGTTTTTATTTTTAGTTTTAAAGTTTGTCTCAATCTTTCTTTCCCACAGGATTTATTAGGGACTGAAAAACTGGTTTCAGGTTCACTTGACGCGGTTTTAGGGGATGTTTATGTAAGATGCATTCAAAAACAGCTAGATAGAGCGCAACCAAATGGAACAAGAATATAGGAGCCTTTTGAAAGTGTGATTATTTATTAAAAGATGCAACTTTTCTGGGATGCTTTTACTGTGCAAGCTGTCTAACACTTACAGCACATTCAATGTGCTAATTAAAGCACCAGCATTAAAAATATCAAAACTAAAAAAAAAAAAATTTTTTTTTAAAAATCTCTTAATGTTCTTCTAGGCTCTTCTTTTTAACCGTCTGATTTAATAAAGCAAGTAATCAGGCCCTCAGGGGTACATTTCTCAGACACAGATCAAACCCGGTCTTGAACTAAAGTGCATGATCAATGCTAATTCTTCATTTAAAATCCATTTGTGGTGCAGGATAAGGGTAAATCTATGCTAGAGGAACCACATATTAAGGGAGTACAGCTCTCAACAGGCCTCATGCACAAACACTACCATTCAAAAGTTTGGGGTTGGCAGGATGTTTTTAACAGACGTCTCCTGCTCACCAATGCTGCATTTATTTGATGAAAAATACAGTAATATTGTGAAATAGTATTACAATTTAATTGTTAGTTTTTTTAAATGTAATTTACTCCTGTGATCAAAGCTGAATTGTCAGCATCATTACTCCAGTCTTCAGTGTCACATGATCCTTCAGAAATCATATGCTGCTCAAGATTTATTTCTGATTATTATCAATGTTGAAAACAGTTGTGCTGCCTTATATGTTTGTGAAAACTATGCTACATGTTTTTTTTCCAGATTCTTTGATGAATAGAAAGTTCAAAAGAACAACATTTATTTGAAATGGAAATCTTTTGTAACATGTCTTTACTGTTACTTTAATCAATTTAATGCATCCTTCCTGAATTTTACTGACCCCAAACATTTATACAGTATCTAACCACTCACATCTGAACCAACAGAGTCCTTCACTTTCACTCTAAATTCCTCCATGTCCGATCAAAAAAAAAAAAAAAACCTGCTTTTATTGCATTTTGGAATAAGATGTCACAATTAATTTCCCTTTCTGTGTGAACATTTTCTTCTACTATGAATCTAAATTAAATGAGCAAGTAACTATAAAATTAACCAGATTTTTACACTTTTCTGATGAAAATGTTCATGCTGATCGCTCATGCTAACCTTGTTAATACAAGTGGAGGGTTTTTGAGCTACAGGTTTATTAGCCTTCAAAATCAAAAACCCACTTCAAAGATATTCCAGTATCTAGATATGATTTATATAGTAATTTAGCAACTTGCCAAAAAGCCACATGCTTGCGCAGACACAAACAATGCAGGATGTGTGTGTTGAGAGTTTATTCAGATCACCAAGCATGAGCAACAATAACAGCGGTCAATGGCAGCCACAATAAGATTGAGATATTACAGACATTAGTTATAATGTCTTATCACTCATGCTAATCGAACTATGTGGTTAAAATTAAGTCTGCTAATCCAGGGCATAGCATGGGCTCTGGGGACCCATCCAATGAAACGGGCAGCCATTGACAGACAGACTGTAGATTACATCAGGGACTCTTTAGATCCCTGCGCTATGAATAAAAATAAATGACATTTGAAAAAGTGTCAAGTGCCAAGATACTACACATTCACACTCAAAACTAGCTTCAGTAAATATTGCATTTATTAATTTAGCAAATGCTTTAATCTAAAGCATCTTACAAATGAAGAACATTACAAACCATGTGTCATATAAGAGCTAACTATATTTGCATTGTGAAAATGCCAAGTTTAAATCAGAAACTAGCACATGCAGAAAAGAAGAGAAAGAGGACAATTTTTGGATGTGTGTGTGTGTGTGTGTGAATATGAGTATATATTGCTAATATGTGACCCTGGACCACAAAACCACAAAAATAGGACAATATTTGGCTGAGAATATTTTCAACTATTTGAAAATCTGAAAATATTGAGAAAATCATCTTTAAAGTTGTCCAAATGAAGTTCTTAGCAATGCATATTACTAATCAAAAATTAAGTTTTGATATATTTACGGTAGGAAATTTACAAAATATCTTCATGGAACATGATCTTTACTTAATATCCTAATGATTTTTGGCATAAAAGAAAAATCAATAATTTTGACCCATACAATGTTTTTTTGGCTATTGCTACAAATATACCCCAGCGACTTAAGACTGGTTTTGTGCTCCAGAGTCACATATTAGATTGATATGAGTCTGGAGGGTCAGTGGTGATGCTGTTTGCCTGCTGCTCTAGGTCATGTGGCACAGAGATAAAATTACACATAACGTAATGTAAGCTGGGACAAGACGGCATCTGTAGCAGGAGCGTCTGCATTATTGGCCTCATTACAGAGGTTATGGGACTCCAACTGTTTGCCCAATATAGAGCACTATAAACACTTTCACGCGTGACAGATAGACCTGCCAACCAGCATCTCATGGTCTGGATGACATCTGTACACTATTAAAATACTCTCTGTCCTGGAGCGGAGATCTACAGTTAAACTGGCTACAAGTGTAGCCTACATTTTATGACCTATGAGCGCAGCATTGATCACCGCACCAGCAGGGCCTGAAGAGTTTATGCATCAATGTCCATGACTTTCGGGTTTTCCTGAGCCCCAAATGCCTGATAGATGCCTGAAAAGGCTGACTGGCTGATAGCGCCACAAGAAACCAGACGTTTCACTAGTGACTATCCTGATATGCAATGTCAAAACAACATAATAATAAATATTATAGTACATGTTTTACCAGTGCCAAATTATTTGTTGGCAAAAATATATAAATAAATAACAACAACAAAAAACTTTATTTTTAAAGCAAGCTTCTCAATGTTTTTAGAGAGCAGAGAAAACAAGAATATAAAATACAAAAGTAAATAATAATAATAACACAATTTTAAAGCAAGCTTCTCAATGTGCTTACAGAAAACAAGAATATAAAAACATAAGTAAATAATAATAATAATAATAACAATAATAAAGGCTCCAGCATCCCTGCAAAGCCAATAGATAAAGAAAATAGATTAAATGATTTAATCATTGTTGTTGTTATTATTATTAATGAATAATAAACAGCTTTATTTTTAAAGCAAGCAAGGTGCTTACACAGAAAAGAAGAATATAAAAACAGCAAGAAATCATATAAAATAAAATATTTTTTGCCATTGAGATGACTGGGGAAAAATTATCCTATTTTAACCCTATATAAAATATATACTATAAAAACAGCATATATATAAACATATCAAAATATTATCAAATAAAAGCTATCCTGAAAAACATTTACAAAATCATATAAGATTTTAATTTAAGATCTATATTTTGAGAGTCTGTGTTTCTCTACCATCAGCTGGTGTGATCCAATATTTTGGAGCATAAGAAATTGAGTAATTAATATTTTCCATATGTGACTAGGATCACTGCTAGTTAAGGGTGGATAAAGCTCACCCCACCTCTTTGAGCGGAATCACATCTGAACCCAGAGCTGTTCTTTATGTGTCGTCGTTCTTTTGCTTGAAACAAATCAGAAACGCTGCAGTCTGGCTGGGACCAGAGATGGACGGGCTCTCTATTAAACGAATGTCCGGCGGTGCAGCAGAGGCACCGCATTTTATGAACCACATCTAAAACTACACACCGTAACCATGGCAACAACGAGAAATCTGGCCCCTGAGAACCGGCCTATGGAAAGGAGCATTTCCAAAAAGCTGTTCTGGGGTCAGTTTCATGCTTTAACATGCAACGACAAAGCCAGGGATCGGAAGATGCTTTGTGAATGTTGCACAGCTACAATAAATAGTGGAAAGACAGCAGACAGACTTTATCTTTTGGGAGTTGTTCCGACGGCTCTGGAAAGGCTTTTCAGACAGATGTGAAAACAGACACAAGCTCTTGCACATTTCCTGATAATAAGAAACAGCCCGCTTGTTTTGCAACTGCTGAGTCACCACCGACTGAGAAAGAATTCATTATTGTTTTAGCTTTATTAAAATCACTCGAAGTCTCATTCCTGAGAATGAAAAAGCAGCAGGTTTTCAAAACTCATAAGCAGATTGACATTTTTGAGAAAAAAGTTTAAAGTCAGCGTACTGGGATTCTTATGAAAAACTATTCAACTGCTTTTTTTAAAGGTTGTTTTAGTTTGATTCAGTGCATTTTTTATGTTCATCAAGGCTGCATTTATTTTATTAAAATACAGTAAATACAGGATTATTGTGAAATATTATTACAATTTAGAATAACAGTTTTCTATGTGAATGTCTTTTAAAATGTAATTTATTCCTGTGATGCAATGCTGAATTTTCAGCGTCAGTGTCACATGATCCTTCAGAAATCATTCTAATATGCTGATTTGGTGCTCAAGAAATTATTATTACTATTATCAATGTTGAAAACAGTTGTGCTGCTTCAGAATTTTTGAGGAAACCATGATACAGGTTTTTTTCAGGACTTTTTAATGAATTGAAAAGTTTAAAATAACAGCATTTAAATATTAAATAATAATATTGTCTAACATTGTAAAAGTCTTTACTGTCACTTTTGATTAATTTAATGCATTCTTACTAAATAAAAGCCTTAATTTCTGTCAGAAAATCTTACTGAAAATCCTTTCTTTTGAAAAGAAATGAACAAAACAGAAAATATGCATATAAATGCATATGAACAACAGTATATAAGCACCACTAATAATTAATAATGTTCATGTCTGTATTCTGCAATAGTCAGTATATATAGTATGTGACAAATGACAGAGGAAGCAAGTTTGTTTACACCAAAAAAAGAAGAGGAAGTTCATAACTTCATATTTTGACAATTATAAATCCAAACCTGCTGCAAAAAATATAAACTTTGATTGTGAGGGTGGAAAAGAGAAAGAGACGTACCTTTCTTAGCAGTGGCCATTCTGGCAAAAATCAGGACCAAACTCAGGAAAAGCTTCTGTTACGGCCTCATCGCGGATGACATCTGACCTCAAAACAACCCTGAGAAACAGAAAGAGAACCACAAAAAAGGAATCAACAAACAGAAGCTGATAGTGTGAGAAATACAGAGAGAGCGGATATATATACACCGAAGATCTGTAAAGTTGCAAAGACTAAAGTCTCAAATCCAAAGAGATATTCTTTATAAAAGTTAAGAGTCAACCACACCTACCTAAAACGGCTCGTTCTAACACGCCCCCACATGTCTACGTCACGATGTGGGAAGATTTGCATAACGCCGCCCAAATGTTCACGCAAAGAAAGAAGCCGTAACTTTTATTCTCGCTGTAGTATTGTTGTTGCCGCCGCCATGTCGTGAAGACGCTGTGTGTTTCGTTGTGAAAGCGAGACTACTTTGGTTGGCCTTCCAAAAGAGGACGACAGCCCGGGGTCGTCACATGTGGTTGCTGCAAGCCCGCTAGACGCTCCTTCGTCGAATCCGCCGGCCGCCACTCACTCAAGGCCGTTTGCCTGGTGTGTGATGCTGTGTGTTTCGTTGTGAAAGCGAAACTACTTTGTATTCGGCCAATCACAACGCACTGGATAGCTGGCCAATCACAGCACACCTCGCTTTTCAGACCGATGAGCTTTGTAAAAATCGACACGTTTCAGAAAGGCGGGGCATAAAAGAGAAACAATAATGTACAGTATGTGGAAAATAATGTGTTTTTTTAACCTTAAACCGCATAAACGCATTTCATTACACCAAATACACAAAATAATGTTATTTTTAGCAGCATCATATGACCTCTTTAACCTTTTGCATATTAATCAAAGACATGCCATAAAAATAATAAAATAAATAAAAATAGAACTATCTCTCGCTCTCTCTCTTTCTATATATATATATATATATATATACACATATCAAATAACACATTTTGTGTGTTATTCCATATTAAATAAAATAATGCAATAACTAATTTTTTGTGCATCCAAAGCAACAAATACTTTTTTTTTTTTACACCAAATGTTACAACAAAGTTTTTGGACCCTCCCTCAAGGTCTGATATATACAATATAGTGAGATTCCTGCAAATGCTCTATAATGCTGAAGATAACATGCCAGAAATGTTTGAGGTCATTATCAGCTTCATACACTGGAAACAATAAGACTGTGGTCTTATTGTAAACTATAAGCCAAGGCCCAGATCCACACCAAGACACTGAGTAATGAGACCCCAACCCATACTAGACCCCATGAGACCAGACTCAGTCCAAGATTAGACCGCTCGGGGCCCAAATCCAGACCTCAAAACAGACCAGATGAAGGAATCACGGTAGACGGGATGTTATGCATTCAGTGGATTCGGATGTGCCTTGATGACTTCCATCTTTCAGTTGCTGTTTGAAAATCAGCATTTTAAAATTTCAGTCTTTGTCTTTTTATCGCTCTCCCTTTTTCCTCTGGATGGGGACTGTGCTTTTATCTGATCTCTCTTTCTGCAACTCATTAGAGAAGCTCCAGAACTAGGATGAACGAATATGCAGGGACTTTCTAATTCACTGGGGAGCTAAAAAAACACACATTCATATACATCGAGACATTGCATTAAATCTGTCTAGTATTGTTCGGTAAAGCCCATCCAATCTACTGTCAAATCAAAGACGTACTGCAAGAGCAGGGTGTCAGATGTTAAATAAATGCACATCGGCGAGGAGAAAGCTTGATGACATAATTAAGCGGCAGAGAGCTCAGATCATAATCGCAGCAGACATTCAGCACTGCAACATAAAAGCAAAACATTCTCATTGCTATTCTGATTTCAACAGAACACTCAATAGTAGCAATTTTTCTGCCTCTCTATCCTAATAATGAAAGATAAAGAAAGTGCATAAAGAATAGTCATAAGTGGTGCTTTTTCAAGGTGCATCACTATTTCTTTTGCTCATGCTTAGGGTTAGTGATCTGAACAAGCCCCTAATTGTAAGCATCAAATAGTGTGTATTGCTTTGCTAAGCAATCAGACTTACATACAAACAGACAAAACCATCATGGAGACTTGTGGATGGGCTCTTTTAATTTAAGCCAGCAAGTAACCACCTAGCAACCACTCAGAATATCCAAGCAACTGAAAAGCAACACCCTGGCATCATAGCAGTGAATTTTGCATGGCATTTTGCAAATTTTTTGTGCACCAGTAACTGACTTGTGCACCAAATGCAATAACTATTTTAGTGCATCGAATGCTAAAACTAATGGTTTTTTTTGTGCATCAAATGCAATAGCAATTTTTTGTGCACCAAGTGCAATAACTAATTTTTTGTGCACCAAATGCTACAACTATTTGTGCACCAAATGCAATAACTATTTTGTGTGCACCAAATGCAATAAAAAAAAAATTCTGCACCAAATGCAATAACCATTTTATGTTCACCAAATGCTAGAACTAATCTTTTGTGCACCAAGTATAATAACTACATTCCACTTTTCAAAGGGTGTGGTTGCTAATTCCAAACCCCACAAAATACACCTGCTGCCCTTTTCTCAGTCAGTCCATTTACTTTTATATTATACATTATAACAGGCCCCATGAAAGCTGAAGGTATGAAGACTCAGGATGGATAACACAGTTAGGAAAATATCCTGTTAATTTTACAGTAAAAAACCCTGGCAGCTGTGGTTGGGTGAGCCCTCAATAACCCGCTCTTTCATTCTCTTTCTCTGTCCTATTTCTCTATTTACTTTCACAAATGATTAAAATAATTTAGAGTGAGAAGTGCAGAAATAATAATAAATGGACAATTGCTCATGTAATATTTCCTTCTTTTCTCCACTACAACATGACCAGAAATCTAATGTCAAACCACACAGATTTCCCTCCATCTCTACATCACACACTTTGGCTGAAGTGACAACCACAGTGGCGCAACCAGATATGAACCAGTTCTGTACTAACATGGCACAGAGTGACAGAGAGAGAGAGAGAGATAAAACTGGGTCAATGTCTCATAAGGATTGCTCTAACAAGGACATTTATGGGCTATGTTTATGTCATAACCCTTTAAACCAAACCATATTCAACATGCATCTTAATCCTGAAAGCCATGCCATTCCGCAGGAGAATCTGCTGTGGCTTGCTCTCATGCATTCTTCACAAATTGTGATTTTCTTGAGGCAAATAACTTTGGGAAGCTTGACATATAGTATGTCCCATGCAAGTGTTCTCATTTCAAATGCATCCTATAAATCTCTTTTTTCAGCACCTTTACAGTCAATGCCATTCAGTCTGTTGCCTTACAGAAGAGCTTGATGAAGCCTTCAAATCCTGCCTGGTGTTGAGAAAGCAATGCCTGCAGACTGTTCTATGGGATTTTAGACTAGAACGACTGTCGATCTGTAACGTTACAATGAAACAATGAAATACCGACTTCAGACGCGTTTAACGCAGAGCGGGTGAAAAGAGACAGACAGAATGACACAATGCGTGGATCTTCTCGAGACCTCTTCTAATAGTCGTGCACAAACTTATGCAACATCGATCATTTTCAAAAGCAAATGGCTTGAAATACTCACCTATTCTCACTGATAATGGGCTTCTGCTGCTGTAGATTTCAGTCTAAACTCGCGCGTCGAACCTCCCAGGATTCTACAGAAATGAACCAGAACCAGAACCAGAAGCTCAAAACCCAAAGCTCCAGTCAGAACCAGGCAGGCGCTGATCTGCGAGCGAGCGCTCGACTTCACTTTCACTGAAGGGCTACAACTTCCGCGTTAATCACGTGGTTTCTGTTGCTGCACTACAGCCGAGTGTTTAGAGCGCCTGTAAATGGACTTTTGATTCATCCGAGTAACTCGAGTCATCTGAGTCAGTTCACCAAAATGATTCACTCACCGATTCTCGCTTTCGTTCAGTGGTCCCTTCTGCAGGTTGCATCAGTGAATCATTAATTCGTTGTATTATTCTTTATTCATTTTCATGAATACACATCTAACGCGAGTAAGCATAATCATAAGTGCTTACACATTAATTACAACAAAGAAGATATTTTCATTGATCTTCTGAGAATGACTTAAAACATTAAAAATAACAATAATAGCCTAAATGAATTGGTTATCGGACATTTTAACACATTCATCATTCTTCTCATCATACACATCTCACATAATGACCTAAACCAGGGGTGTCCAAACTCAGTCCTGGAGGCCCAGACGACCTGCAGAATTTAGCTGCAACCCTAATTAAACACACCTGAACCAGCTAATCAAGGTACACCTGAAACTTCCAGACAGGTGTGTTGAGGTAAGTTGGAGCTAAACTCTGCAGGACACCGGCCCTCCAGGATGAGTTTGGTGACCCCTGACCTAAACGAACAACATGCGCTCTAGTCGAGATATATCCAGCTGCAGCAGTTTCAGAGCCGCAGTGACAGAACCGGAAGTGAGGGGCGGAGTTATTGACAACGAGAGCGCACGGTGAGTAGTCTGTAATGTTTTTGCTATCATATGTTTAATAATTATCGAATATATTACGTTAAGCATTTATCTGTTAAGTACTTAATGTGTGCTTGCCTTTATTATCTTATATTGAAGCTTGAATTTGTTGTCATACTTTATAGTATATAACTTTTTTCTGTGGATGTTTCGATTAATTTTCGGATGCATGCTGTAAATGGACCTTGTGGTGAAGTTTTGAAGACGTTTATTATTCATAAAAATAAATAGTTTGCTTTAATTCCCTCTGTTATATGCATTGTTTGTGTGTTAATATTAACTTGTAGTTTAGTTATTTTAATCCTATTTGTCATCATTGAGATAATTGTGTGTGGCTTCATCTCTTGTAGAGACATATAAGGATTCAGAGAGCTGACACATTACCTGAGCTGCAGCAGTGCAACGAGTGTTAACGCCTGTTTCACGCCCGTTTCACACATACTCCGTCTGCAGTGCGTATGTGGTCCGAGTGCGTTTCGTATGCGGTGCAGAAGCAGCACGGACTCATTGTGCTTATTTGCAATATTGCAATAAAGTAACTTTCCCCAACACTGGTTACAGCAATTACCAGCAGTTTTCTGCTTGACCAGCATGTTTAAGCCAGCCAAATTTTAGGCTATACTATACATTTTTGCAACCAGTTATTGGTGTGATTATTTAGTTGTTAAATAAGGAACAAGGAAGGTTTTTTTTGTGCCATTTACAGGGAGAATATTCTTATTTTTTTGTTGTTTTCCAGTACATCTTGTCTGGGAGCACCCTTTGATTTAACACCTGTAAGTAGTTATCAGTTAACGTAATTTACCTTTATGATGTTGTAGCAGTTGATATTTAAAGATTTCTCTATGTTTGTGTCTTCCAGTGTGACATTCCAATCATACGGAGATGGTGGACTCCAGATGGTTTTCTCTGAAAGGTACTGGACATTTCCTCCAGCACACCATTACATTTGCACCCCCTTCTGACCAATTTGAAATTAACCAAGATACATGTATATTACAGTGCAGAAACCCTACCAGAGGCACTTCCAATTGGATAACAGGCTACACTTATGAGGTATGTCTCAAATCTGTCTATCTATCTATATACACACATTCATAAGAAATATTAAAGTTAAATTTTCCTTTAATATTCTGTAATGAAGGAGATCCCAGTAATCGCAGACAGAAGTTGTGAAATGGCTCCATTACAATAGACATCTGCTCAGGGGGCCAGTGGAAGAGCCTCTTTTCCTTATAATGGAGGAAGAGGACAAGAAAAAGGCCCTCAGCAATCTCCTGGAACAATCAGAAGCTTCCAGAATGCCCTTCATATTTCATCTTGTGTTCAGGGGAATTATTTTTGTAGGATTGTCATAACAAAATGAGTTGTTCATTTGATTGTAATGCTCTCTTGGCGGGCCTTCTCGCATGTAGCCAAAAAAAAAGCTCACGTTACTCCTCTCCTCATCAGTTTACACTGGCTACCAGTAGCCGCTCGCATCAAATTCAAGGTACTGATGCTTGCCTACAAGACAACCATTGGTGCTGCACCAATATACCTAAACTCTCTAGCTCAAACTTATGCGCCCTCCAGAAGCTTGCGTTCTGCAAGTGAACGGCGCCTTGTGGTGCCATCCCAAAGAGGCACAAAATCACTCTCACGGACCTTTTCCTGGACTGTGCCCGGCTGGTGGAATGACCTCCCGATCTCAATTCAAACAGCCATTTTCAAAAAACATCTAAAGACACATCTTTTTCGCCAGCACCTGACCAACTAATACTATCAGAATCAGAATCAGTATTAGCTTTATTCGCCAGGTGTGCGCAAACACACTAGGAATTTGTTTTATTGAAATTTTTAGTTTTCATATAGAAAAATGTATGATGTACGTGTTCTTGACTTTGAAATAAACATTTATTTTGAATCTTGTGATTAAAGTATATTTCATATAAAATGCCCAGAAGTTTCAAACATTATTTTTAATATAACAAACAGGAAATAACTCGCATAATACAATGAAATGAATAACTGTATAGACCTACAACTAAATTACACAAGATTAATCTTTATAAATTGCTTAATATATCATTATAAAATGCAT